GGACTACAGATAATCAGATTTTATTTCCAAACAAAAAATGAAAAGAAAATTTACACATTTTTGACGGGCCGTATTAAACATATGTAAATTAATGAAGTGAGGAAGTGAGGGGGGAGAGAGAAAAGACATGAGTGAGTTAGCAGATAGTGACACATTTAAACGATTTTTTTTTAACGGAAGTTATATATTGAAATCGAAGGGGTAGCGAAGAAAAAAACCCATAGAGAAAAAAAGAGAGAAGGAAGTTAAGTCACTCATGTCTTCTCTCTCTCTCCCCCCTCACTTCCTCACTTCATTAATTTACATATGTTTAATACGGCCCGTCAAAAATGTGTAAATTTTCTTTTCATTTTTCGTTTGGAAGTAAAGTCTGATGATCTGCAGTCCTTTTAAAAGGGCTGTGGTGAAATATTTTATTACATGGAACCTTAAAGTGGTCTGTTTTTATTTAAAATATATATTAGAGAATATACATAATATCCAACGTCGATAGCACAACTTGAATTTTCATGCAGTTTATTATGAAGTTCCAAGTTATATTATCAATGTTGGATATTGATATTTATTGTATTAAAAATAAAAGGCTGAAAAGGGGGTAAAAGGATTGAGGCTGGTCTTCACTAACTATCTTATACCTAGATAATCTGATTCACAACCCATTCACTCGTTACAATTAGCGCATTCACCACAAAAACTCATCTGTCACCAATCAATCCTCCATAAACCATAATACCACACATCCTCTCAGATATGTTGGATATTATGTATATTTACTAATATATAATTATAGCTCTGTTTAATAAAATTGAGCACTGTATTTTTAACACCTGGAGAAGAAATATATTTATACGTATGTAGAAATATTTGTGCATATAAGTAGATTTTTTATCCTACTCATTTCTCTATATACATACATACATATACAGAGAGAGAGAGAGACTGACTCCAAGATCAGTCATATACTGCATCTTTGCGTCATTATTCCAGAGAGCAAATGGAGTCTGGCAATTTCACTGTGTGTTATTGGAAATTATACTTATGCCCTGGAATGATATCTGATCACAAGGTTGTGGCTTGATAAAAAGCTTTGTCAGAGGTGCTGTTACCGCTTGTTGTTTTTGGTGTCTTCAATTGTCATATGGAATCAGCTGGCCAAGTTTCAATTCCAGCTGTGTCTGTTGCACTAATACACTTGGGAAAGGTAAAAACCCATATCTTCTCCACTCACTTATGTGTAAAAATCAGGCAAAACTGTAGCCTTTGTAGGACAACCATCAGCTTGGCTGATGTTAACCTCGAGGAAAGCAACTCATTGTGTGTACTTGGTCTCATGTTTTCCAGTGAAATGAAGTGGGGTGGTTTGTATTGAATCAATTGCTCAGTCTGCTGCTAGGAAAGTTGGTTCACTGTCATATGCCAGATTATTTTTCTCATTACAGTATTAGTTACAAAGATTATCTGAAGAAGGATCTGTAATATTATTATTCCTGATCTGGCATCTTGAATTTAGTCCCACCAACATGACATGACTTTTGTCTATTCTTTCTATAAATATTTTCATGACAATTGTTCTGGTGAGCTTTCCTTCTTGATATTTTGACCACATGAATTTAAGCATACTACTAGGTTGGCAGTTAGGTCTCCTCATTTACTGTTGAATTAGATAGATATAACCATAAGTTCTATTCTAATAGTTTCTTTTCTTGAATTTCTTGCCTGTGGAACTCTATTTTGCCACTTTGTTTCACTGCTACCTGCAATTTTCAAAAATTTAAATGCAATCTCAATTGCAATCTTCTGTTTTCCTGAACCCTGTTCTTTTATTGTCCTTTCTCCTTACTAAAGACTTCTCATTCTCTTTCACTCCCAGTAACCCTTGTATTTTAGTGGTATTATTGCCTTGTTTAGGGTGTAAATGGTTAAAAAGATCCATATTTTCCTCATGATTAAAAAAAATTCTATATTTGAAGAATGCTGAGAGAGGAGCTTCTGAAGTTATCCCAGTCAGTAATGGGCATATGGTTGCAAAGAAAAGGATTCAAATTTTTAGCAATTTATCTATTTTTAAAATATATATATAATTTTGTGGAAAGGTGAAAAATTGTTGATATGTGGTTCTTTAGTTGCCATTGGTAAGGGAAGTGATTGGGTGCAAGGGTGTTGTTGGTAAGGCCAAGTGCGAGTAGAATGTCAATGGCTGCTACTCATGGTGATGACAAGAGAGGTCTGGAGTGGGTTTGTGAAGTCATGAATGATGTAGTACAAGTAGTGTGTTGTTGGTGGGGTTGCTTTGTGGTAGAGGCCTGGTAAGGTACATAGATGGGTTGGTTGACTGAGGTTATGGTGGTGACAATCAGAAAGGCCTGAAGTGTATAGTTTAGCATGATCAAGTGGGCTGTCTCTGTTAAATTCTGGTTGAATTGGAGATCAAACAAAAATGGTAGTGACAATGCGAGAGGCTTAGAGTAGATAGTAAAGCTTGATGGAGTAGAATGTCTCTGTTGGATTCTGGCAAAACAGGAATTCAAATAAAAACAGGGCCATGATAGTGACAACGAGAGAGAGTTGGAATGAATAATGAAACCGTTGTGGTGTTAGAAACCATGGTGGTGATATTGACAGAAGCCTGGTGATGACAGCTGGTTTGTCAGCCACATTCTGAGTGTGAAGAATCTGTGGAAGTCAGGAATCTGGTTGCCGTTACAGTGGGTTGACTGAGACACATTGGTGATGAGTAGAGAGGCAGTCATGGTA